GGGAAAGCATGAGGACAGGAGGAACAGTCAACCAGTGAGAGATACGGTGAGGGCATTGATGATAGAATTCGGTGGTGGCCACAACATGGGCATGGAGAGATTGAGGTGGCATTGAGGAGCCTTGGTTCTTAATAGGATGTGATACTAATAAAGACCAGGAATTGAATTCACACTCCATCTGGGGCAGGGAGACAGAGGAGAGGCACCATCCACCAGGGAAGGAAGCACCAGAGCAAGCAAGTTTGGGAGAGAAAGTAGTAGAATGTAGACTATGTAGACTGTGTGAGCTGAGGTGTGGTACCTGCATGACTTCCATCTGGGCATGTTGGCCTCTCCTTGGGACCTGCAAGATGATGGTCCTGCCCACGGACCTTCATGATCCACCTCTTGGCGAGAGGATTTCCTGTGCCCTTTGTAAGCATCCAAATTCTCTCCCCCCACCAGCAGCCATTTCCTTTTTAGCCATCTCCCTTCTCTGCTCAAAATCAAGTCCCTTCTCTTATCCTCAGATACCTGTTTCACGTGATTCACAGCCATGAACCAGGTGAGAATAAGTCCGTAGCCTGCTTCCCGTGGTCACCTAGACACAAGACCAGCCACATAGGCCAGATCTCATCATTCTGCTTTCTTTGTCCCCCAAACCCAGACCTATCCCCAATGACTAGATTCACAGCATTCATAGATCAAATAAAGAGGAAATAACTACAGGATTCCTAGCCATTGCTCTCCAGAATTTAAATAAATAAACTCCATTAATAAATGCTATTTCCCTAGGAGTGCCTTACTTGCTAAGTTGAAAAAATTGAATAAATCGTGCTAATAGTACAAATAGCTTCCTTGTTGTCTAGCATTTTAAAATACTAAATGATTTCAGTTAGTCACTGATTTGTACTCATCTGCCTCATATCAGAGACATACCAATAAATTTATTGATACAGGATGACATGATTTATATTATTTCCTTTGGCTGGTTTTATATTATTCATTTATTCATATTTAATAAATTATCTGCTGTGTACCATTGGTGAAACTACCACTTTTTACTTTCTGCATTTTTTCACTTAAGTGAAGCTTTGAGTCTTAGAGGCTAAGAGGTTATACGTGTCTAGTAGAACCAGATTTTAGACTGCAGTTATTAGACTCTAAGTCCAGTGCTCCTGGAGGTCAAGCACCATACAGCCTAGGTGTGTAAAGAGCTATACTATGCAGATTTGTGTAAGTGCACTTTATGACAGTCACACAATAACACAATCACCTCATGGCATACATCCCCATCATTAAGTGACTCATGACTATAATTCTTAAGAGTAATAACAGGGGGCCAGCAGGTGGTATGGTGGTTAAGGGAACTGGACTACCTCATGGCCGATCACAGTTCAAGTCCCAGACCTGGTGTCTTGCTTTCTCACTTTCTCTCTCTGTATCTCTCTGTCTCTCTGTCTCTCTCACACACACACACACACTGTCCCTCTTTGGCAAAATAAAAATAAATAAATAAATAAAGTTAAATAAAATAATTCTTTTTTTTTTTAAATAGTAATAACAGCAAACATCCAGAGGGAGGATGCATTGAAAGTTGTATATAACCTGTTTTTGTTAGCTTGAAGATTTGCAGAATCCACTTATCTCTTAGGTCTCAAATGTATTAAAAAGTTCATTATGAGAGCCAGTTATGAGCTTTTGGGGTTTTTTTATGCCTAATTTGGTTCTAAGAAAGTCTGTACAGATTGCCTTGGGCCTTCAGGGTCTTATGCTAAAGATTTTGCATCTTCAATCTTCACCTTCCCTCCAACTAGTTCTTCTAAAACTCCCAGTCCTTATCCTTGTCTTTTCAATTCCTCCCTTAGTGAATGAAGGACTTAATCTCAGAAACCCTGGTACATACAGATATTCTTTCTCTGCCCTTCCTTATTCCTAGGAAAGGCAGGTACCTCCCTTTTCATGTACGGAAAAGCCCAGAGTGGTCACTGCAGACCTCTCTCAGGATAGAGACTGAGGAGCACAAAGAATTAAAGTAAAATGTTGGTCTATTTCTGTTGTTTTGTTCTTTTTGTTTGTTTGTTTTCTTCTAGAGGATGTGTGTGCTCACCAGAGAGAGAGGGAGAAGAGAAACCAGCCTCCATAAGGAATGGTCACACCAAATCCCTTCTCTATCTCTTCCTCCCTTCAGGATTTTGGGCATGAATGCATGTGCACGTGAAGTGTTTCTAAGTCTGCCAGGTCTAGGACTTGAACTATGCAATTAGCCATGTGGGATCTATCTGCCTTAACCTTCAGGTCACAGAGCTGGCTCAGTCTGTTCTTCTTGAGGGGGTCAGTATGTGCCGTGAAAAATTACTTTTAAACTAGACAGACAGATGCGAAGGCTAGTTTTGTCTTTGACTGGCCTGTGACTTTACATTTGTCAGTTGACTTCCCTGATCCTCAGTTTTCTTACATGGGAATAATACTTGTATTTTAAGGGTCATTCCAAAGATTAGAAATAACTATGTGCTGGAGTGTTGAGTAAATCTTCTCCTTGCTACTATATATTGTAATCAAGTCTTAGAGCTCATGTTCTATGTATGTGTACTTACGTCAACCCCTACAAGAGATGACCACATACTGAAGCCTGTTCATAGCCTGGAAAAAGCAGGGCAGATGGATATGGACAATTACAATCACCTTTCCATGCACTTCAGGCTGATGTGTTGACTCTGCTCTAATTGTAGTGCACCTGGTGGACATTTGGAACGTCATAGAAGCACTGCGGGAAAATGCTCTGAACAACCTGGACCCAAACACAGAACTCAATGTGGCCCGCTTGGAGGCCGTACTCTCCACCATCTTCTACCAGCTCAACAAACGAATGCCAACCACTCACCAAATCCACGTGGAGCAGTCCATCAGCCTTCTGCTTAATTTCCTGCTTGCAGCTTTCGATCCGTAAGCTCCGTCTCAATATCTGTTACTCTCTATATATTTGGTTTATACTATCCCTTATTGTCCTGCCTGGTCTTTTACCCAAATAATTTTCTCAAGCAGCTATGTCTTTTCTCTTTTTGCACCAGATTCTTATGTCAATAAAGTCTTCGTGTGTTTAATATCAATCTTAAAGGCTGTGGGAACTATTAGAAAGTAAGATGGTGCATAAGAATTTGAAGACAATTGTATTTTATAGACTGACCTTTATCTAATTCATCCCACGCTTCTTAGAAACTGTGGATGCTTGAGAGTGTTACGTGATGGCAGGACTGTGCAGCAATTTAATGAAGCGTGAAGTGGAAGCATGTTTTTAACTCTCTTCTTTGCAAATTGTCTAAGACAGTGTTTCTGAGGTGTCATAACAAGACCCTCAAGCAAACAGGGAAGAACTCTCAACTAGCCTTGTCGAAGTAACCAGGGCCTGCTTTACATGGACTGTTCCATGATATGCCACCATAAAACAATGCAGTGCTTTCCACACACCACAGTTGAAACCCAGCCTCATTATCATTTAATTTCCCCTTGTAGAATCAGAAAATTTCAGAGCTGGCTGAACTCTTAAAGACTGTTCATCCAAATCTCTCATTTTACAGATGAAGGAACTGAAGCACAAAGAGATTTTCTCTTGTCCAATGCCTGACAGCGTGTTAGCTGCAGAGTGGGGACTTGGGTATTCAGCTAAGTTTTCTTTTTCAAGGTATATGTGGCAGCCTCATGAAATGGAAAAAAAAAAAAAATACTACCCTGAATGATATTTTAACAGGACTTTGCCGATAGCCTCTAGTTGAACACAATATCACCACCTCTACTTTTACTACTTGGTTTGAATGTAAACAAGGAAAATGACTAACCTGACCATTCAGCAATCACATTTTAAGACCCTTAGAAGATTTTGCTTAGTCTCATTGTCTGTCCAGTCCTCGGGAGTATTTACTCAAGCAGTATAGATGTTTTAGCCAGGCTAATGCTATTATGCTATTCATCAATGTCACCCACTGTCATTTTGCAATCTGTAGAATGGTAACAGAATTATTTTGACTTAGTTTTATCCTTTGCCTTTTTGTCTCCATGATGTTTATATTTTGAGAACTTCTTAAGTTGAAATAAACAATTTTATAGCAAGCAGCCCAGCTTAGTAGATTCTTTGCTCTGTCTGTGCAGACTTCAGAACTAGATGTACTGCTCTGGACTAATTGCTAATGGCAACCAGGAGGTAAGCAGGTAGAGAGAGCTGTGGTTCTACATGACAGACAGCCAAATGGAACCAGGCCATGGAAATTCTGTAACGGCA